TATAAGCATTCAAAATGGCTGTGCCCTCCGTCACTTTAAATATCCAAAATAGCCGCTACATGTAAACAATCAAAATGGCTGCACCCTCCAGACAGCAGAAAGTCCACAGCTCAGGTTGTCTCCCTCCTTGCTGTTTCCCTTCCTAGTCATAGGCCACCAGAGCAGTTGTCCCTGCAGTCCTTGGTGATCAGGACTGATCTTTAGGTCCATTCTCCGCTCCCAACACCACTTGCAAATATTAAGGTTGTTGGTCTCATCAGAGTAGCTGACAGTCCACAGCTCTGACCATCTCTGTACTCACTGTTTTGTTCAGGTTTTTCCACTAGTTGGTGCCTAATCCACCTCTGTACAGTTCCTGTCAAAGCTCAGGGTTCCAGGATTATCTTCTGTATCTCTGTCAATTGGTTTTCCTTTCCTTTGTTGAAGAGGATCTGTGTCGCTTGTCTGCCTATTCCTCCATCTTACCGGAAGTTCCCTATGCATAAGTTATTGTTAGAATTTTTTGTTTCTTTCTTTACAATAAAATCCTATAAGTGAAATTACTAGACCAAAGGGTATATGTATCTGATAATGGTTTTATAGGACCCCTGGTAGCGTAATGTCTAAGGCACTTGACTGCTAACCAGAAGGCTGGTGGTTCAAACTCACCAGCCTCTCCTTGGAAGGAAGATGGGGCAATCTACTTCCATAGTGATACTGCCTCAGAAACCCAAGGAGGGGTCGCTATGAGTCGGGTCCGACTCAATGGCACATAACAACAACAATGGTTTTACATCCAAAATATCTGACAAACTACAACTTAACAGTAAAAAGACAAACCACCTAATCAAAAAATGGGCAAAAAGCTTGAACAGACATTTCATTAAAGGGAACATACAATGGCCAACAAGCACATGGAAAGATGCTCAAACATCATGAGTCATTATAAACCCGTTGCTGTTGAGTTGAGTCTGACTTAAAGTTACCCTGTGGGACTGAGCAGAACTCCCCCACAGGGCTTCCAAGGCTGTAATCTTTACGAAGTCAGGCTGCCACATGTTTCTCCTGCAGAGCACCTGGTGGGCTCTGGCTACAGACCTTCAGGTTAATAGCCCAGTGCTTTAATCACTGCTCTACTAGGGCTCCTTCATAAGTCACTGTTGCGTAGTTAGGTGCCATCAAGTCAAGCTGGTTCTGACTTACAGCAACCCCGTGTACAACAGAGGGAAAACATTGCTCTGTCCTGTGCCGTCCTCGTAACAGCTGTTATAATTGAACCCATTGTTGCAGCCACTTTGTCAATCCAGCTCATTAAGGGCCTTTCTGTTTGTCGCTGACCCTCTACTTTACCAAGCATGATGTCCTTCTTATCATTTGTTGTTGTTAGGTGTCGTGGAGTCAGCTCCAATTCATAGCGACCCTACGAACAACAGAATGAAACACAATCCAGTACTGTGTCAGCCTCACAATCCTTCCCGTGCTTGAGCCCATCACTGAAGTCACTGTGTCAGTCCATCTTGTTGAGGGTCTTCCCCTTTTTTTGCTGACCCTCTGCTTTACCAAGCAAGATGTCCTTCTTCAGGGACTGGTCCCTTCTGACAACATGACCAAAGCATGTTGATATCATTATGGACACGCAAATCAGAACCACAATGAGATACCCACCTCACCCCTCCTAGAATGGCTATGACAAAAAAAAAAAAAAAAGGTGTTGAGTATGTGGAGAAAGTATAACTCTCTCCATTTTTGGGAATGTAAAATATACAGCCACTGTGGAAACAGTTCAGTGGTTCCTTAGAAAGCTGAACACAACTACTACATGACCATTCAATCCCAATCCTAAGTGTATACCCCAAGGAATTAAAAGCAGGAATGCAAACACAGACCTGTACACCAACTTCCATTGCAGCACTTTTCCAAACAGCCAAAAGGTGGAAACAATTGACATGTTCATCAAGAGATGAATGGATAAACACAATGTAGTGCATATATACAATGGAATACCACTCAGCCATTAAGAGAAATGAAGTCTGGATGCATGCCACAATATGGGTGAACCTTGAAAACATTAAGCTGAGTGAAATAACTCAGTCACAAAAGGACAAATGATCTCACTTACATGAAACATGCAAACAGAAAGAAAAGCTTATTAGTGGTTACCAGGGGTGGCAGGAAGGAATAAAAAGAGGGAGTTTTTGCACAGGGGACATTGAGCTTAGGTTAGTTATGATGGAATAACTTGGAAAAATATAATGGTTGTACAACATGAAGTACATAATCAACGTCACGGAATTATACATATAAAAATTGTTGAATTGGCAAATGTTTTGTTATGTATATATATTTTTTATTACTTTTTTGTTATGTATATTTTTAACCACAATAAAATAAAAAGGGTACATGTGTATTATCAGGGCCTGATGAATACAATCAACTTGCCTTCCAAAAAGGTTTAATCATACATTCAGTACTTATAGGTGGGTGCCTGAATTCTTGTTTGATTTTAAAAGTTTCAGAGATGGTATAACTGCAAATCAAGTACCTTTGATTGAGTATTTCTTGCTCTTGTTAGCATTAATGAGGCTTGTGTTTAATAAGGGAGCTCTGATGACGTAGTGCCTAAGGTATTTGACTCCTAAGTAGAAGGCTGGCAGTTCAAACCCACCAGCCACTCCCCAGAAGGAAGGTTAAGCAATCTACTTGAGTAATGATACTGCCTTGGAAACCCAAGGAGGGTCACTATGAGTTGGACCCAAGTTCACGGCAGTGGTTGCATTTCGTTGCCTTGTGTTTAACAAATTTCATTTCTTCCTCAACATTTTATCCTGAACATTTTCAACTACGGAAAGATTGAAAGAATGGTACAGTGAACATCCAAACATCCACCACCTAGATTCTACAGCTAACATTCTGATATATTTGCTTTATCATGTATTTATTCATCAATTAATCCATAAAGGCTTCATTTTTAATAGGAAAAATTCTTTAGATTAAGACTCTTTCAATGAAAGGCCTCATTTTTGTAAACCCCCAGGTTCAATGCTGCCACATGGGATGCTGTTCTGTGACTTGGAGTGGATTTTCAGTTCACAGTGACCCCATGTGACAGAGGAGAACTGCCCCCAAGGGGTTTCCTAGGCTGTAATCTTAAGGAGAGAAAGGAGCTCTCTGGCCTGCGTGGGTCAAGGCATTCGGCTGCTGACCAAAAGATCTGTGCTTGGAACCCACCAGCTGCTCCAGACAAACAGCTTCCACAAAGATTTACAGCCTTGGAAATCCACAGTGTCGACTTGATGGCAATGAGCTTGGTTTGGTTTGGAACCTTAACGGGAAGGAGTTCTGGTGGCGTAGTGCTTAAAGCATTCGGTTGCCAACCCTCACCAGCCGCTCTGCCAGAGAAAGATGAGACAGTCTGCTTACCTAAAAAGATTTACAGCCTTGGAAACTCTATGAGGTAGTTCTGCTTCCTAAAAGGTTCACTATGAGTGGAATAGGAGCTCTAATAGCATAATACCTAAGGCACTTGACTGCTAACCAGAAGGCTGGCGGTTCAACTCCTCGGAAAGAAGGGTGGGCAATCTACTTCCGTAGTGATACTGCCTCGGAAACCCAAGGAGGTGTCGCTATGAGTCGGGTCGACTCCACGGCATGTAACAACAACAACAACGAGTGGAATAGACTCGATGGCAGTGGGTTGAGTGTGTTGAACCTTAACGGAAGCAGACCGCCAGGTCTTTCTCGCGTGGAGCCGCTGGGTAGGCTGGAACAGCTAACCTTTTGGTTAGCAGGCCGGTGCTTAATGTTGCGCCACCAGGGCTCCTTATACAAATGTGGAAAGGTGCCAAGAAAGAGTCAGATTTGTGTATATATGTCTAAAATCTAGGGGCTGCCTCGGTTTCTGACGGACTCAGCAAATAGGTTTGGACCATGGCACTATTCTAATTCTGAACCTGCTGGGACCTCAATTTTCTCCCTGTAATATGGGCATGTCTACATCCAGGGTGAGGATTAAAAGCACAACTGGCGAGAAGCACTTAATAGTTATTATGATTCTTTTACTCCCTACTTGTCTCAGGTAAACTCTTGAGTCCACTTCAGTTATAAACAAAGGCAAAACTTGTAAACTGGGGACGGCGTGGCCCAGAGGGCTACTGACCTGAGGCCAAAGGCCGCGATCGCCTGGCCTGCCTGATGCTGGAGACGGCTCCGAGCCACTGCGGGGTCAGCGTACAGCCCCACCCCACCCTCCGCCAGATTGCTCCCTCAGGAGCCCCACAATCAAAGTGACAGACAGTGGGGCCGGCCTTGGGCGCTACACGCGTCATGTCAGTGAACGGTCACAAAAGCCTGTAATCAGCACTATAGAGAGGGATACTAAGGCTCAAGGAGCCCAAGTCACTTGCCCAAATCCACAGCTGGCGTTCGGGACCTGAGCCCAAATCGCCCAGCTCCACGCTCTCACTTTTAGCCTCCGGTGCCCTCTGATACCCACAGGGGGCGACTGGCTCGCGCAGGCGCAGTCGTCGCAACAACGTCCCCTTTAAGAAGATTCTTTTTGCCTCCTCCGACCCCTGCGCTTCCGCTCCGCGTTCCCACAATACAGTGCGGCTGAGCGCCTTCGAGCCCGCGGGACTCTGCGGGGGGACCCAGGCTGAGGCAGCGGCGGCGACGTGGGCTGCGGCGGGCCCGCGGCGTCGGGCTGAGCGAATGTCGGGCTGGGGAGACGAGCGCGGCGGCGAGGGCGACGGGCGCATCTACGTGGGGAACCTTCCGACCGACGTGCGCGAGAAGGACCTGGAAGACCTGTTCTACAAGTACGGCCGCATCCGCGAGATCGAGCTCAAGAACCGGCATGGCCTCGTGCCTTTCGCCTTCGTGCGTTTCGAGGACCCCCGGTGAGGCCCCCCCCGCTCCTCCCCTCGCCTTCCCGCCGGCATGAGGCGCGGGTCCTTGCCTCCCCTCCCCCTTCATGGGCCTCCCCTCCCCCCCCCGCCCCGCGCAGACCCCTTATGGCGCCCCCGGGTGGAGGATGAGGCCTCCCTCCCTACAGGCTCCGGGCCGCCCTTTGCTCCGTCGTCACTTCCTTTATTGTTGTATTTTTTTAAAACTCAAAAGCAAAAGCTGGGCCTTTGAACGGCCCAAGCCCGCCCATACCGGCCTCGGGGATGGCACGGATTCTCACTCTTTTCTCCGCGGCTGGGCGGCAGCCTGAATGGGGAAGCGGCCTTGGGGCCTGGAAACCTCAGGCCCCCAAGCCTGCCCGGGAGAGGAATCCCGGAAGAGTGGAAATAGTCGGTCGCCCTCCCTGCCCACCCCTCCCCCCAGGGCGAACTCGCCGTTGGGAGGGAACGCGCTGCTGGGACCAGGGTGCTTTGGAAAGTCGTCAAAGGGTCTGTATGGAACAGATCTCCACCCGCGCGGCCTCCCGCCCGCCACGGCCTAGTCCTTAGAGAAAGATCGGGGATTTGGGAGGACTTCTAGAACATCCTGAAGGGATCTCTGATTTCAAGTTCTCTGCTGAGGGTGGCATCGCTAGATGCTAAAAGGCCGTAGGGATTTGGAAGTTGCCCCGAAAGCGACTCAGGTGGGCCTTCGTGAATGCAAACGTTGTAGCCTTCAGGCCGGAAAGGGCCGAAGAACTTTGAAAATTGCGCTTGGTAGTTCTTAGAAGCTACTGCACGGTGTGCTCACTCCACTGGGATAAATAGGAGCCCGCTCCCTGTTTTCCAGCATCGTTTCAGGCCTGCTTTACCTAGTCTGCCCCTCGCTACAAGAAATACTTACAATCGAGAAATATTTGTTAACTTGCCTGCTGAGGGGGTATTGGGCAAGGGAAGCAGGAAGAGAGGCTTTGTCATGGCCAAAGAGGCTGACTGTTCATCCTAGTGTCTTGCCGTTTGCCTCAAAAATGGAACTAGCAATTTTTCACACTGGAAAAGGTTGCCTCTCTTAATTATAACCATGCCAATGTGTCTTTGAACAGTTGCTGTGTCAGGCACCATGTTGTGTATTGTTTAGTTTTTCAACAACATAGGAGGTGTAGGTACCACTGGCCATATTTTAGAAATGAGGAAACTGGGTTGATAGTGGTGTTGTAAAGGCCAGTAAAATAGAAAAAGTTGGTAAAAAGACTAGGCTAGTTATGGATCAAGGTGGGATTTAAATCCAGTTTGTTCTGCCCTTAGAATACTACTTAAATTATTAATTGCAACATTGTCATCTTTTCTTTCTCCATTCCTTTGATAAAAGAAAAACTTTTGCTATCAGGTGCCAAGTTCCAACCACAGCCCTATGCCACAGTACCTTATTTAATCTTTGCAACAGCCCTGTAAGATAGGCATACTACTCACATTTAGAGATGTAGCTTAATAAAACCCTGAGATAGCTACTAGTAGTAACAGAATAATTTGAAGTCAGATCAATTTATATTTGAAGTCTGCTCTTAAGCTCTAGCATTCTCCCCCTCTCCCACTACATGGTAGATATAGCCAGGTACTCACTAGATGTGGTCCTTGTTGCTTTATAGTATTAGGCCTTGTGAGAAAATAGTAAGAGGTCATTGTATGGTGTACATTTTGAGAAACTGCTCACCGAGATTAGGAAAACATACCAGCAAAATCATCTATCAAAAAACTCTCTTAAATTAGTCCTAGCGACTGGTACACCATGCGATCCACAGCCTATATGACTATGAGACCAGAACAACTATAGATGGTGCCCAGCTACCACTGTTAACCACTTGGAGGAGGATCTTGGTAGGAGATCCTGGATAGAGAGGGAGAACAATGTGGAACAAAACTCAAAATCATTTGGAGGAAAAGAAAAGGGGGTGGGAACCAGGTTTGCTGGTCCGATAGAGCCTGGTGGAACCACTGAGACTATGGTTCCTAGGTGCCCTTCAGGTCTGGAATTGAACCCACACCTCTGGCTTCCAGCCAAACAAAAGACAGGCTTAATAGTTGAACATGTACCTGAGGTAGACACACTCCTTGGAGAGAACAATCATGGGAGAAATAAGGGCTGTTGATGCAACAGGGAGACAGCTTGGGGCAGGAGTGCATGGAGGGATGGACACAGGGAAGAGGTGACGGTAGGGAGGAAGTGGGAGGGGAGCTGTTGCATTGGGGTAAATTGTAGTCAATGTCATGAGACAAAGTGTATATGAACTGTTGTATGGAAAGTGAACTTGCTCTGTAAACTTTCACCCAAATCACAATTAAAAAAAAAAAAATTGAAAAAAAAATTAGCCTTCTTGTAAGTAACCTGTTCCCACACATTCATTATTAAGATACTGTGTGTGGCAGTTGTAAGGTTTAATTCTAGTATCATGAAAGGTCTTCATTACAGTATAGTAGCACATTATAGCAGTAGCACAGATCCATTTTTCTTCTGGGGTTTTTGTTAGTTTCATTCTAGGATTCCCACTTAAACTTAATTCTCAAGTATTAAGTACTCAGTCACCTAGTCTCCTGGATAAACTAACTTTAAACTTTTCTTTGCAGAGATGCTGAAGATGCAATTTATGGAAGGAATGGTTATGATTATGGCCAATGTCGGCTTCGTGTGGAGTTTCCCAGAACTTACGGAGGTCGGGGCGGGTGGCCCCGTGGTGGGAGGAATGGGCCTCCTACCCGAAGATCTGATTTCCGAGTTCTTGTTTCAGGTATGTTTCTTTAAAATTGAGGTGATGCATGTAAAGCAATGAACAGAGTCTAGCCTCTGAGAAATGTTAACTTTTATTATTCAGTGCATGGGAAAGCCTCAGCTTTCTTTCCAGTAGCTTAAGTGCAATAACAGTCTGAAGTGGTGCCCTCTTGCCATTGAGGACAGGTATCCTGAAAATGAAATTGCCCTGGTAGTGGAGCTTTGGTAGAACATAAACATGCTTCTTATAAAAGGGTTTTCTAGTGTTGAGAAGTTGCTTGCAAACCCCCTTGAGCTAGAATTCTAAAAATGTTTTCTCTTGGAATGTACCTTGGTGTTGAACTTACTGAAAGGATATTCCAGGAGGCAGATTTGAGCAACTGACTAGCCTTAGATCATGGGAAAGACTAGATTTCGTGGTGGTTTTGGTAGAATAATTTTTTTAAAAAAAGTATTTTAGAGTCTGGGGAAATTGTATTGCAGAATATCAAAGAGTATAGAATAAAATGTGTAGTACGAGTGATGAAATACTAAGCTCAGCTCAGAGGTTTATTTATTTCTCTTAAATATCAACATAATGGGAGAGACCTGGGGCTGTTTGTACATTGTAGGGTGAGTTTTGGGATCCACCTGGTAGAGTGAAATGTATTGAGGGAGCCTAGCTCCTTTTTAGATATGAGTATCACTTTTAAATATTAATCACAGCCTTCTCCCATGGTGCTTGTCTTATCTAGTGCTGCTATAACAAATATCACAAGTGGCTTAAACAGATTCATTTTTTCACCCTCTGGGAGAGTAGGAGTCTGAATTCAGGGTATTAGTTCTAGGAGCAGGCTTTCTTTGTCAGCTCTGGAGGGTGGCCATTGTGTCTTTGAGTTGCCCCTGGGCAGTCTTCATGTGGCTTGATATCTCTCTTCCTTCTCTGCTTCTCTCACTTGCTTGTTTAATCTCTTCCATATCTCAAAAGAGAATGCCTCAAGATACATTTTAGAGTAATCCTGCCTCAGTTACATAACAAAGATAAACCATTCCCAGTGGGATTATACCCACTCCTCACTTAAGAACCTGGTTAGGTTCCGAAGACCACTGTCAAATCACAAAATGGAGTGTGATTACATCATCACAACATGGCTAAACCACTGAGAATCATGGCCCAGCCAAGGTGACGCATAACCATCACAACCAGTGTTACTCACCTCAGTGTCCCTCAGTGCACAGAATGGTTGGATAGTAGGGTTTTTGTTTTTTTAAAAACTATTGCTGTAAATGTAAAATGTCAGGTAATGAGATAATGTGGAGTAGGTATATAACCACAGGTAGAGCGGCTAAGATTTACAACACATTTTTTGGGGACACAATTCGTCCATGAAAGTGCTTAAGAGATCACTCAGTATGTGCCTATTTTGTGTCCCTTTGTGATATTTTTAACCCCAGAACTTTCTTCCGTCCTTCAGGATGTCATACATACCTTTTTTTTTCTCTCCACGCTGCTCTGAAATCCTGCTTAGAAAACTATTAGGAAGTGGCTGCAGTCCTGAGCTGTGAGTGATAAACACAGCCTTTGAGAGCAGGAGCACATTTCCCTTTCATGACATAAGGTAGGGTCGTATGACTCCCAACTAGCCTTAGCGCTGAGTCTTAACGTTTTCCCCGTACTGTATTGAAGAACGTTGATCTTTTAGGAGGTTCTTTGTCTAGTTTAGGAGCCCTGGTGGCATAGTGGTTAAAGGTCATCTGCCAGTTGAAGTCAGCAGTTTGAATCCAACACCTACTCCGTGGGAGAAAGATGTGGCAATCTGTTTCCATAAAGATTTAAAGCCTTGGAAAGCCCTGTAGGGCAGTTCTACTCTGTCCTATAGGATTGCTAAGTCAGAATCGACTTCACTGGTTTTGTCTAGTTTGTCAGTCATTCACACCAATAAGAAAAACTCTTTTTAAATTCTTTTGTTGTTACCTTCAGCTACACTTTGGTTACTTCACTGGCTTGTTTTAAAATCTCCATGTCTTGGGAATCTGGCTAAGCAAGAAAAATAGTACTGATACATTTAATAATAATAGTACCAGTAGGTTTCATAATGGACTCAATTAGAACTTGAATTCTTAAGGAATTTTATATTAATTATGAAACACAAAGAGAGGCTATACATTCTCAGAGATACTAAAGCTATCAGGATGGTCTTGCTCTCTGTTGGAGGTCTTAGTCTGCGGAAGATTAGTTTAGGACCAGCTTCTCAAGGTGGTTTACCAGCTGCCTTAGTGCTCATCTCTAGGTTTGTGTCTTCTACCAAGATTGGTGATTCAGGGACCCTCGGGATTTAAAAGTGGTGATTGACAGAGAAGGACTCTAGGGGTTGCTGGCTCCTGGCAGGGTGGTTAATGTGGGTGCAGGATGTAGCCTCTTTCTTGTGTTCTCTGTACCTAGGACTTCCTCCATCAGGCAGCTGGCAGGACCTGAAGGATCACATGCGAGAAGCTGGGGATGTCTGTTACGCAGATGTGCAAAAGGATGGTATGGGGATGGTCGAGTATCTCAGAAAAGAAGATATGGAATACGCCCTGCGTAAACTGGATGACACCAAGTTCCGCTCTCATGAGGTGGGTGCCCACCATCTGTTGAAATGCTTGAACTAGCATACTCCACTTGTTCTAGCAGAACTAGCTACAGACCATGCATTTGCTGCCATTTATTTTCAAAGTACCATTAAAGCTCTGTCACAGGTAGACAGAGCCAACAGATTCACTGTGCAGTATCACTACGGAAGTAGATTGTCCAGCCTTCCTTCCGAGGAGTGGCTGGTGGATTTGAACTGCCAGCCTTCTGGTTAGCAGTCAAATGCTGTAGGTGCTATACTACTAGAGCTCCCAAGCCAGGACATAGGAGAGAAAAATCTGCATTCATAGTATTTTAACTTGGAAAGAATGTTGGCACAGTAAGTCATAACATGGTGAGCTAGCTGTTCTGTGTTAGCCCTTTCACAAGTGGCTTGGCTTGATCTGCAGTGTCGTCCCCATGCCTGTGGCATGCACCCCTCCCCCCACGAGCATACCAGTACGGGCTCCTGGTTCCAGGCTGGGCTTTATAGGGTGATTTGTCATCTCAAACCTTCTAGCTACTGTTGTCCCTGAGTTATTTCACTTTTCCTTTCCCAAAGTAATGCAGGGTCCTCTTGGAAACTTGAACCAGCTTGACATTTTCTTGATCATCTCCTGGGCTTAGTTTGAACCATTTTTTTCCCCATAGAAGCAGGGATGGCAAGACTTTGTCTTTGGGTGTTTTTTTGTTTTGAATTGTGATTTGGGTGAAAGTTTACAGAGCAAATTGGTTTTCCAACCTGGGCATAGTTCTTGATGTCCTCCATGCTGTTTTGCATTTCTCCATCTGATTAAAGTGGTAACTGTTCCCTTTGATAAAGTGGAGACCAGACTATTGAGAACTTTTTTTTTTCTGGTTATCATGCCCGTACTAGGGTTATCAAGGATGTGGATTTTGGGGCTTGTTCCTTTTTCTTAGGATTCATGTAATTCCCTAGTTTTATGAGTTAGAGGCTGGTCTTTGCATGTGACTTAACTGTGTTTAGACTGTCCAGAGAAGAGTTAGCCCTTGGCCTTCGGTTATACTACAAAGCAGGGAAAGCCTCAGCAGGTGAATTCCATTACTGAATTTATCTAGGGAAAAATACATGCCTTCTTTCACCTTTAACATGTTTATAGATCTGAGAATGCTGGCCGAGGGTAAAGGGTGTGGAGACAGGCCAACCTGGACATGACTCTTGCTGCTTATTAATTTCTTAACCAAGCTACTCTCTGAACCCTAGTTCCTCCATATGCAAAATGGTCAGAAGAATACCTGCTCATAAGACTATGAAGCTAACTAGAGTATGTAGCCCAGGTCCTGACTCATGAGACGTGTTCAGCCAGAGGTTAGCACTCTTCTAGCTGCTCACCAAAGGTGTGTGCGTGTGAGGTAGCAGGAGGCTGACCTTAGAGAATCTTTCAGGTTCTTAGATTCTGGGGTAGAAATCGTTTGGGTGTCATTAACAATTATAGCTAATATTTGGGCACTTACCACATGTCAAGCTGCCACTTACTGTGTTGATTGTTCTCATCTTTGAAATGGAGATAGTAAGAGTACCTGCCTTGTAGTATTATTTCAAGGGTCTAACAAGATTGGTCATGTGAACAAGATTGGTCATGTAAGCAAGATGACCACATTGTACCATGCCAGGTACAACAGGTATCAGTAGTTATTGTCAACCAACCGTGTTAGGTATTGGTCTGCCTTTTTTTTTGTCTCATTTTCCCCCCTTTCCTTTTTGTTCAAATTTCAGGGTGAAACATCGTACATCCGAGTTTATCCAGAGAGAAGCACCAGCTATGGCTACTCACGGTCTCGGTCTGGGTCAAGGGGCCGTGACTCTCCATACCAAAGCAGGGGTTCCCCACACTACTACTCCCCTTTCAGGCCCTACTGAAAAAACAGGCAATGGGAATTTGTTCTTTATTTTTTAGTGTGAACTGAGCTGCTTTGTGCTCAGAATCTACATTCCAGATTGATGATTTAGTGTCTTAGGAAATTTTTTTTTAATTTTTTTTTTTTTTTTTTT